AATAAAACATTACCAAATAAGATATATATTATGCTTCAAAAAATTGTGAAAACTATGTATCACTATCGTAAAGAAAAACTCTTCCTACACCATAAACTCTTCCATTGCATTACCGTTTCATTTACGGTAATTATAGTCAATTTTTCAATAGAGGGGGCAATTCCATTGATAAATTCAGAAACATATATTAAAAATTAAGGAGTCTTGCTAACATTAAGTAGCCACAGCCTGAATATACTAATGTTAAAGTATTTTCCATAAATCGCCCCCAAATGGCTTAATATAATTCCTCCTGTATAAAAAAGTATATTAAGAAAAAAATCCAATTAAAATCAAATCTTGTCTCTTTAACCTCTTACGTGAGGCGGTTTTTACCTAAATTCACCAAAATTCATTTAATCATGTAATTATTCAATTTATTTACTTCTGTTTTTGAACATATAAACTAACGCATTCTTTGAATTTTTTCATTTTATATAACAATGTATTACATATTTAAAGATTACATTTGCAGTAAACTCCCCTTCAATAAAAATTTTTCTATATTCTGATGTGTGTGGTGATTAGTGACCGTTAATCGATATTTATTTAGAAATCGTGAGATACGGTCTGGTGTGATGTAGGTTTCAGAAAAACATGTTCTTCATCATGCCAACGTTTCGATCTTTATTGAGATCATCTTCAGGGTTTAAAGTGTTTGTCTTCTGTGTAATTGTGCCATTCTTGCGTGTCGTGTCGAGAGTCCCCTGATGAGATTCTGATGGTAGCTCTTAAAATATTTATCTAGGGTACGTACTCTTTCATTTTTATTTTGTATTGAGGCATGACTTAATTTTCTTTAAAATCCTTATATAATTATTATATTGTTTGTATTGTTGTAATTAAATATAAATAAAAATGACAAATAAAACTTGAACGAGATCAACACTTTCAAAATCTTTACGAATAGAGCGGTGAAGATAAAAGTCCATCAACGCTTGACATTAATGGCTGATATCGTTGGGTAAAAGCCTTGCTACCTGCTATAAATTAGCAGTAAAATTAACATTTGAGTTTTGTTAAACCGGACAAAAAGCGTCCCATACTAACTTGAAACGAGCTATGATGGGAAAGCTTATCTGTAAGTTCCAACAAGTCGAATCCCGTTAAACTGCATTTTTCCTTATCTGCGTTGGACGTTATTTCGCTCTCGGAATTGGTGGATTTTCGAGCAAAATTAATGGCCCATTTATGAAGCTAGCGAGTAGATTGTAAACCTTCCTAAACATATTTAACCTTTTTAAACAGAATGAGAAGTTATTTTGAGTTGATATTCCAAAAAAAGAAGTAATTTGTATTGGTTATTGGTAATTGTAATGGTAATTGGAAGATTAAAATTATTAATCAATCGTAAAAGTTTTTGTTTAAATTTGGTTTATGTTATGTTAAATTTATTATGCTTGTATATATTTAGTAGATTTTGGACTGCTAAATCTATTAGTTATGTAATTGACCCACAATAATGTCATAAAAAAGTTCTATTAGAACATACAAGTCTTTTTTTTCTATAGATTTGAGAAAGGATTGCCTTTTACCTTGCAGTTCGTATGATTAATATTCCTTTCAAAAATGGCCCAATCTGTATGACAGGACCTTCATTTTGAATCGTTTCTATCAATGTGTGCTAACATCGGAATGGCAGTCAGAACTGGAGCGACTATCGCAATAGGGACACGCCTAAAAAAAGAGCGAATAGATTTTTTTTACCAGTTTCGATTGTGCCGGGCTTACATGAGTACTTCACCGACAAAAGGCTTTAGTTTTAGGATATTATCGAAGTTAAACGCGACCAGTAAAGGTCAATAGGTTAAGTGGGGTTCCTTGTTACTTTATCTTATACAGACCATCTCGAGACGGATCGTGTCTGTCAGTCCAAATCAAACCAGCGTTTATCCCGCGCTTAAAAAAGGGTTTAAACCAACAAGGATTAAATGCCGGTTAACTATAGGTTAAAGGTGTGCATTTAGTTTCTTACTGTCCATAAGTAAAGAAATCCTCCAGTCCCCGTTGCGTTGCCTTGAGCCGCTTAGGCCAAATCCTCCTGGCCCCTTTGGTCGTCTCCGCCTCATCGGGTTTCATATAATTATTTCTTTGGCCAATGCATAAAGTAAGGTCAGAAAAAAAAAAAAAAAAGTAAAGAAATGATATGTACCACATGGCTAATCGAAAATTAAGCCATTTTTTATTCCTCCAGTTTGACTGGAAAATTAATATAAATGTCCAATAATAAATTAAAATGATACGGGCATACTTATAAGGAATATGCTTTTCATCATCTTGCATTACTCTTAGAACTTTACGACTCCCGTATCAACCACTAATGATGATAGTTGGATTGAAAAACTCTCGTAAATCAACGTTATAATACAAATTAGACAAAGCCTTGTAAACATTTGATCAGTGCTTATAAAGTTATAAGCCTGTCAGCTGTCTTTCATAGACCAGGCATGTAGTTATTTTTTTATGATACTTGTTCGATATTTTTGCACTTATTGTCTGGTTGCTATTTCAACAGACTCAGTAATTTTCACATAAATTAGTTATTTATGAAATAATCACTACTGCATTTTTAGCACTTGGATAATTGTACCAATATCTGGTATGTATTCAAAGCTGTACAATAATAAATATACATTGATTACAATAATATATATTCAGGAAGTCACGATAGATGGTACAGTAGCGGCGTATTTAGCCGAAGGTCGTGGGTTCGAATCCCGCTCGTGACACTGACTTTTTTATCTCAACCAATATCTTTCATAAATGTGTGGTGATTAGTGACCGTTAATCGATAATTATTCAGAAATCGTGAAATGCGGTCTAGTGTGATGTAGGTTTCAGAAAAACATTTTCTTTATCGTGCCAACGTTTCGATCTTTATTGAGATCATCTTCAGGGTTTAGGACGTAGAAACATTGTTTAAATTAATTATTTAGAAATCGTGAAATGCGGTCTAGTGTGATGTAGGTTTCAGAAAAACATTTTCTTTATCGTGCCAACGTTTCGATCTTTATTGAGATCATCTTTAGGGCTCAAAGTGTTTGTCTTCTGTGTAATTGTGCCATTCTTGCGTGTCGTGGGCACTCTCAACACGACACGCAAGAATGGCACAATTACGCAGAATACAAACACTTTGAGCCCTGAAGATGATCTCAATAATGATCGAAACGTTGGCACGATAAAGAAAATGTTTTTCTGAAACCTACATCACACCAGACCGCATCTCACGATTTCTGAATAATTGTCTTTCATAAATATTAATTGAAAAATATTAATTGGTCAATCGGACCTCGAACTGTAATGGATTTAATATATGTAATAAAATAATTATAAAAACGTATTATTACTGATGAAAAGATTACATCGGAACTGGTTGAAGACCGTCAGAAATGATAGTAAATATTTTAAAAAAAATAGTTTTTAAAAATGTTAATTTTTATTACAATTGAAACAATGAAACGACTAGGATGTTCACAAAAATACTATCCGAATCTCCAAAATTCTACCATTCTACCCAAAAATATGATAGGATACTTAAAACGGATGAGTGCGGTTTGTCGTATTTGATGGCATTCCACGGTTTTTCTCGTTGAGAATAAATTTATTTTAACTTGAGTGTTTGAGTGAATGTAGATTTGTGGTGGAATATAGTGTGCCCCAAAGACCGACCGAACAAGGTTAGTTATTTTATCGTACTGGATGAATGTATTTATTTGCGTGATTCGTTGTGTGTGTGTGTGTGTGTGTGTGTGTGTGTGTGTGTGTGTGTGTGTGTGTGTGTGGGTGTGGGTGTGTGTGTGTGAAGAAGAGAGGGAAATAAATTTTATCGCGAAATATAGAGTGCCCCAAAGACTTGCCAAACTAGGTTAATTATTTTATCGTCCTGAATGAATGTATTTATTTGCGTGATTCGTTGTGTGTGTGTGTGTGTGTGTGTGTGTGTGTGTGTGTGTGTGTTATGTGGGTATGAGAGAGAAGGAGTTTGTGGAGGAATATAGTGCCTTAACCTACCAAACAAAGTTCGTTATTTCTCGTCTTAATGAATGTATTTATTGCCGTTATTCGTCGAGTTACCTCACCCACCAATTAGATATTTTCGGTAATTGTGTTTAGTATGAAAACAGCTTAATATCAAATTAATACTCCAGTGACTTCCAGTATTTTTTATGTACATATTGTTCAAATGTTGTTAGATTGAATGTGGATGGGACTGTGGCCATATACCCATCAACCTAGGTTAGTTTTATATAAATAATTTTAGAGGACTGTGAGCGAGACACGGGTCCCTTTCAAACTTTTAATTGTAGTACGAAGTTTCTAGTTAGTATGAATATTAAAGGTATTTATTTCCGTGAATGATGGCGGGTTCTCAATAGATTATCCAATACCCTGAAACCCGCTAAACTTAAATTAGGCTAAAGTATAAGTACGTGTGGTGTACACAAGTTGTATAGAATTTTTACCACGTTTGGAAGGGCCAATCATGAAAGATAACGTAGCCCCAGATGGAGCATTAATTGTAGCATTCTAGAATCGTAAAACACTTCTACTGTGGAGCCAACTTCGATCAATCAAAAGAGGAGAGGTGCCGGCATAGTCATGCCAGCTACCGGACAGAGTACTAAACTAGAATAGTACTAATTATTATGGATAAACCAGATATAATATATAAACCTTACCAATATAGTATAGGTTTAGAAGTTTACTTACATAAAATCATATAAAAAATGGTACATGGTTTACGCATCTACAATCCATAAAATAGAGTTTAATAATCAAACAATACATACGAGAGACATAAAAGTTTGTCAATAAGGTTGGAAAAAGAAAGTTTTGATAAATATATTTGAATATAAAATCAACATGCAGCTAGATAAAAAAAATATGCTCTCATGTTAAATTTCTGTAATTTAATGGTACCTGGAATCAAAAATGATCACCATAAATCGCAAAACACAAAATATAAACAAATCATAGTATATTCATATAATTCATTAAAGTAACAAGATAGAATTTATTTCTTTGTAAATTTTCTCGTTGGATCGAATTTCTTCGCCGGTTTCTTCTGTGGCACTTTAAACATATCCTTATCATTTTTCTGGTCGTCGTTCAACGGAATGTTTTTCATGTCCGGGTCCTCTTTTTCGGCCCTTCCGGAAATTAGCAGTTTCAGCTGGCTTATCGCATAACCTGGATTCAGCCCCTGAAAACGTTTTGTTGAAAACATTTCGTAAAATTAATATAATTTGCTAATTTTACTTTTGGACAGCATCGTGTGCAGTTCAGGATAGTGTGGCATTTGAAGACAGTCGCACTCGCTTCGTTTAGTTTGTCCAGTCTTTCTTCGACCTTCTCATCACGCGAGTCCATCACCCAGCGGTATGCCTGCCAAAATTATCACGTTTTCGTTCAGTAAAAACACAAAACAGATAACAACTGTATTTACCTGCAACAAAGCTGCCGGCCCGTAGAATGCTTCTTTAAGGTTTTTATTTCCGTGCCACCAGTACGAAGGGCAAGATGTAGAACAACACGCGCAGAGGATACACTCCATCAGGCCATCCTGGAAAAGTAAAATGCAATAAAATGCTTAATTTTATTAGCACTCATCTAAACAAGACTATTATACAAAATGCAGAACTCAGACTGAGTAGGCAGTCCAATCCATCTAACCTGCATATTATAAAATACATAATTCACCTGCGATATTAAACTAACCTATAGAATCTAATTTGCTTTTTCAAGTTTTTTGTAAAATATAAAACAAGTACCAGCTTAGCGCGGTCTCTGATGCTTTGCAGAAACTGCCTTTTACCGATGTCATCCTCACACAACCTCATTAGATAAGGCTCGATATTTTCGTATTGCTTGTAAAACTGGGCGAGGTCAACAACCAGATCTTTTACAACATATTGGTGCGGTAGAGGTAAAACTTTCAAAGGCTCGTTTGTAACAGCGCTGAAAGTGTAATATCATAAAAAATGATAATAATTATAATTGGCAACTTCTTAGTAGAAACATATGCTGTTGGACAAAAATATGATACTTGAGTAAACTTCAGTATTATCCTTACCAGAATTACTAATCATTAAGAAAAATGAGTTTTTTTAATCCTATATGTATTTAATTACAATTATAAATGATAATTACGTGGTACAAGCGAGACCGTTGACACCATTTATGTTCATGGCGCAAGAACCGCAAATGCCTTCACGGCAAGATCTTCTGAAAGACAGCGTCGGGTCAATTTCGTCCTTTATGTACAGCAGGACGTCAAGCACGAGAGGGCCTTTTCTCAAGCTAAAAGCAAACAATATGAATTCTGTTTCTAAATTTTTGACAAGGGCATACGCACTCGGCCGGTTCGACTTCATATTGCTGTATGTAAGGCTCTTCACAATCTTCCGGGTCGTACCTATTAAGACGGAAGGGAAAGGTAGAATAAACTTGATGAACAGGACGAGAATTGATTCAATTAAACAGGAAGAAACGCCAAAAACACTTAGCATAAAACTCATTAGGCTAAAATAAAGTTATTTCATTTTTTTCCTAAAAGCTTTGTAACGAAAACTAAAAAAAATCAACCTAACATCCAAACAATATAATCCAAATTATACGAATTTTTATAAATAGTTTGATTATCAAGCCTATTTCATAAGGGAAGGCTTTGGACTTTGAATATTAATGAACCTTTTTTTTGTAATTTTGTCCCGATTACCGTGGTCTGCTTAGCCTTACTGGTTCGCCTATCGCATTACCACAATATATTACCTTTACTATATGGTCTATGTGGGTTCTGAGAAGTCAAGTCTCATTTATAACGCAGTGGGAGTTGGGGGTGCATGTTTCGAAATTTGGCTTCAGTGTATCTGAGAACGATTCAGTAACTTCCACCCAAAACTCTACTTCCGCACCAAAACCCACTAGTACAAGCTCTCGTTTATACGTCCAGCTTAACAACTCTCCTCACCTCCTAATATTACCCTAAACCAACCCTCTTAAATACTGGAAGTCCCAGCAATGGCCGGCTCCTTTCACTCATCTTCATGATCTGACAGCTTGCCGCCAGATCTACGTGTATATTTTCATCACAGTATCAACATTCTATATACTTTTCTACAGAAATCAATTAATGGAAAACTATCATTCATGGCTAAACTTTTGAAATATTGGATTACGAGGTTTGCTAGATCTAGAATATACGAAGGTACTGTGTCAGGAGTCATTGTGGGGTCAGTATCTTCGTGATGAAGTCCATGCAATTGAAAGATGAACTCGGTGTCATGTCAGATAGTGAGATAGTCATAAATTACGTCTACAAAGACAGGAGCTGATGTTCCGTAGTCTTGAGCCCTTCTGTGGCAAGGGATTCACACTATCAATGAGTATCTTAGAAAAAAGACAAGATGAAAAAGAGGAAATCGTGGAATTCCAATGGACACAAACAATTCAAAAACCATTTAACGAGTTTCGGAAGGAAATAAACAAAGAATGCATCAAACAAAGGAGGAAACAACATGGAATCCAAACAAAGATTCTTAACAGGACCCTCCAGGACAATCCAGCACGCTACATGCAAATTCATCTAGGAAGCAGAAGAGACACCTAATAACAAACTGCAGAACTACACTTTTCGTAGGAGGAATCGTTTCGGGATGTACAACGGCTTAATTTTATGATTAATACAATTAATTTCTTTTAAAAACATCAAGTAATTAATTTTAGAAAGTTAGACCCCCTAAGTATATTTTTCCTATTAAAAATAGGACTATGTCTATGTCTTATTATATTTTTACTGTAGTAATTTTGGGTGGAATGGTTAAGTTAAATTAAAACAGCAAAATTAATTTGGATTAACCATTTACATGACGACATTGAAATGACACTCTTTTTCTTACAAACATAATTTATAGTACGATTTCAATGTTATTTTCAAAGATGTAAATCCTACTGATTATATAATAAAATATTAAGCTAAATGCGTGTAAGATTGTGTGTAAAATCATATATATTTCTAATTTGTAAATAGTATGCAATGTTTTCCCAGCTGATTTTCCCGTTCTCGTCAAACTCATACGTAAGCTGTTTCTAATCTAATCTTTACCTGAAGATCGAGACGTAGATCGGATTGGAACTAAGTTCGGTCTGATGGGTCTTCTTCTTCTTCGGGTCCAACATATCCACGAATCTATCAAATCCGCTCCAGGAAGACTGCTTTTGCTAAGGAAAATGCTAGATAAAATCAAAGAGAAACCTCGGTTAAGCTACAGAGATCCGTACCGATTTGCCTTTATCCTTCTTCTGAACATAGCGAGCCTGGAGGGACCCACGAAGTCCGTATCTCATTGCCGCCTTCAACATCGCGGAGTTCAGTACATGCCACACTTTTAAGAAATCGTTATGGTTTTACACCTTCCGATCGTGGTATTCAACGCTGCTCGATATCTAGTACGACTAGAAATACAACTTTCCTTTGCTTTGTTATGTTTCTACGCTCAGCTGATTTCGAAATGGAAAACATGAGAAATAGACCCATGTGCTTCTACGCAGTTGTTTCTGTTATAGAAATCCCCGAGTTTGGGTCATGGCCGAGAAAAATAGGAAACCTTATACGTTCATAGATTGAATTTGCAACGGTTTGTGTTAGAACAAGAGCGGTTATCGCGCCAGCACTTAGGACCAACACACAGGACATCGATTTCAAGGTTTATAGTCGTGAAGCGTGGATCGCCCGACAAAGGAGGGATTTCAGATATAATACGACTTCATCGAGGCGTGGCCCAACGTCTTCGTGACTACGGTTATCTTCATGGGTCGCGTCCGTGGGTAAAACCGTAAAAGTTGTAAAAATTTAGCGTCGTGCCCTCCCGCGATGACCCACTGCCATTTCCGGCTGAAACTCGTGAAATTCATATCCACTTGCAACGGGAAAGAAGAACGTGCCGTTCTAGGTTCATGGTCGCTATTGCACCATTGCACTTTATGAGATACGGTTGAATTATCTCGTTCGGTGTAATAAAAAAAACAGAACTTTCCCACATTTCAACCCGTTTTTAAATGATCCAATCCTAGCATTTTGATTCAAAATCCTTCATATTTACTGTTTTAAAACAGGGGTAACAATATTTACCATACATTTTCACACTGACCTGATTGTATGTTTCTTTTTTGCTCATTCTCAACCTCGTATGTCCACTCCATAACGTAAAAATCACACTCACAAATTTTATCTTAAGCATTTGAACTGTTTGTGCTTAAGTGCACGAATTCGATTTTTATTGCAAGAAATTGCAAAACTGAGATTTTTTATTTGAAAAGAAATTAAATTAATATTTTTAGGGGTTTACACTAGAAAAAGTCAAACTTTTTCTATCCGTCTTTTTATTTATATCCGAAGGACCTGCCTCCCCTCTTCCCACAATATTATCAACTAAAAACAGAATAACACAAAATGCAAAAAAAAAAATTGTAACATTGAATTAAATTATTAAAATAAAAAAGAAAAGACAGTTACAGTTTTAAAATTAATTAATTAATTTACATCTGCGCCCATTGCTGCGTTTAAGTAAATTTGGTAAAATCTTAGAAGTGTGTATATATATATATATATATATATATATATCAATACCGAGAAAACACCAACACGGTCTTTATATCGAATCAACAAGGCATGACACTCATTTATTATGTGAATTAAACACAGTATTAGTATACGAGTATACATATTATGGCATAATAGTAAAAACCCACTTTGTCAAGCTTGTAGGGGACTCGATGTGTCCCACTTAATTGATAGGTGTCATTCCTTGGGTCGATATAGAGAGCGTGTAGGGATGCGAACCTATATGAGAATAATTATTCAGAAATCGTGAGATGCGGTCTGGTGTGATGTAGGTTTCAGAAAAACATTTTCTTTATCGTGCCAACGTTTCGATCTTTATTGAGATCATCTTCAGGGCTCCAAGTGTTTGTCTTCTGTGTAATTGTGATCTCAATAAAGATCGAAACGTTGGCACGATAAAGAAAATGTTTTTCTGAAACCTACATCACACCAGACCGCATCTCTCGACCTCCAAATAATCATCATGTAACGGCCACTAAGCACCACACATTCTCATATAGAAATGTGTGGTGATTAGTGACCGTTTATCGATAATCATTCAGAAATCGTGAGATGCGGTCTGGTGTGATGTAGGTTTCAGAAAAACATTTTCTTTATCGTGCAAACGTTTCGATCTTTATTGAGATCATCTTCAGGGCCTGGTATTTATAAACATTGTTTAAATTTTACCATGAGGATGTGATAAAAGAATTTATACAATGCTAGAAATTTCAGATTCAATTAAAGTGTTTGTTTTCTGTGTAGATGTGTCATTCTTGTGTTTCGAGTTGAGAGTGCCAGTGAAATATTGATGTTTTATGTATATGAACGTTGAATTTTGAAGGGGTGGGAAGTAAGTCGGGATAGAACGATATTCTTATATGTGGAGTCGGCCTCTTTCAGGTGAAAGGAGTCGACAATGGGAAAAATGGGTAATGGTTGGTCCAGATTATCCTTTCAGGATTATATAGATAGGGATAATTAGTCGCAGCTACGCCAATATCATTAATCAAATTCAATATCGATAGCATTCGGCAGCAATGTAAAACTTGTTCCGATTTTTGGAGAAAACAGTGCCGTTTTATATTGTACGCAGTACTTGACAAATCGTTTGTTGATTTTCTATGTACATACATTAAGATTAAATGTGTATATTGGAGTGAATAAGTTATGTGAGAAGCCAATGGAAAAGTATTGAGTCTTCATTCACCCTCAATCAGAGTAGTTATATAGCATATGTAAACTGATGTAGAAATATCGAGTAATCCACCACGTAGCTTTGATATCTATGTAAAAAATTATTTATTTAAGAATGAGTGAGAGTGTTTAGGTTTAAAAACTGCGTTGGGGCTGAAATGACCTATGTAGTTATTGATGACCCTTGGAGAATTTCTCGATGGACGATAAACGGATAAGACCGAGGTCACCTGGGGTGGTTGATTCTCGAGACCTGTCGATAATTTATGGTCAATTATAAAATCTGGAATTGTCGGCGGACTGCGAGTAGTGATAGACTCAACTATGTACATGTGCAAGTGTGTATGTACATAGTGTGTAGAGTTGGGTTTATATAAATCAGTAATTTGATGACAGCCTCTGGAGCCTAAATTGGGCATCGGGCCGTATAAGTCCCTGGACTGCCAAAACACCGAAGCGAGCTATTCTTTCATTTGTTCTAATCTTATTTATGTGTAATATGTGTGCAATCAATCAATAAATTAACCTTTGAAACAGGAAAACGTCTTATTAACTTATTAATAAGTAGTGACTTTATTTATAACAACAATTATTTCTGGCAAAACTATCACCGTCCTGATCGACCATTTTCAAATATTTTCGTGGTAGAGTTTGACAAGAGGCATTTCGGAACTTCGCCATCTTTGTGGAGAAGTTAAAAAAAACGACCGCTCCGGATATGTAAATAGTATTCTTATATAAATCCAACATTTCAGCAAGTGTTCTTGTCCGGGGTCAAACGCTGGCATTTCAGTAAAATGTGGGCTGTCCGCAGGGCCCAGCACGCAAAGACCGCCACGGATAAAATAGCTCTTGCCAGGCTGAGAATGGGCCGATTCAGAATAACCAATAACTCACCGCGGCCCAAGAAAGAAGAATGAAATTCCTCGCCAGGAAATCACATTGCTTAATAGATTATTGAATGAAATTCATCCATTCAAGACTAATAGAGTAATTTTGAAATACTTTATGTTGTATATTATTCGAAAACAGTATCAGATGACTTTTATAGAACCAATGAATAAATTAAATTTAATGAATAAGTTATATAAATATTAAATTATATCCCCTGGTGTTTTGTCAATCATTTATAGGTGTAGTGGCAAAAAATCGTAAATCAATCGTTGAAGGGACATTCAATTATAAAAGTGGCATTACTGTTGTACAATATTTTAATATTTCGAGGAATATAAAACTCCACGGCTTGAAAGTAAAATTTAATAAGCGGCTTGTTCAAATGTTGGATCTGAAGCAGACTGAACGGGATAAGATGTAGTCCAAGATAAGTTTGGCACCTTATGGGGAAATTAGCAGGGACATTTTATGGGCCGGGCCAACACGAAGCCCCGGGGCGTCCTCAACCGAACGACCGGTGTTTATATAAGAACCAATTTGGCCAAAGTCATTTGGCAACATGCTTAATCGAAAGGGCAGAGTGCGGCCACCGTTCGAAATGCCTCCCTTGAGGAACCGGTGAGAAAGAGCGGTGTGAAAAAGAATGAATAAATTTTAATTTTTTAAATTAAATGTTCGATTTCACTAATAAACATATGTTTTTATGGACATATGATTTGAACTACGAAAACCGTACGCTTTTCTTACATTATTGCCTATTCAAAGCCAAATCTTGTAATCATTTAACTTTTTGTTTTGATCTGATTTCAAAATCACTTCCAGTGTCTCGGAATCGAACGCCTGGAAGACTACACTCTGAGATTTCCACTTGCAGGTGACCACGATGATTCATTCTCAGAATAATATTGCGAACTTCTAGTTCAAGATGATGTCTTTCCATGGTTAAAGAGAATACAACTGGAGAAAAGACGAGAAAAGGTGTTTACAAAATGTGTAATCTTCATGTTTACTAATCTTAAGTAAATGCGTTATTAAAAATGAGGATTAACGTTTGTATGTTTTTGCTTTGTGTTTTCTATTTTATTTTATCCAACTAACAAGAATCGGTTAATTTAATTAAAATTAATAGAACAAAACTAAATTACAAATATCCCTATTAATTTCTGAGCTTATTATTTAAAAAAGTTAACTTTTTAGAGAATTCGGTAATCAATGGATTAAAGGATATTCAAGTCCCCTTTACATTCATTCGTAGATGTCGTTTATGCCTGTGCATGCAATTGATTATTTTCATAACCCTTCCTGATTTTCGAAAAACAATCGGTCGGATTTATAAAACGCAAATTTTGAAATTTCATTGCCCCAAAATTTGTATTCAGTGGTTATATGGGAGGGAGGTGAAAAAACAATGTTAATTTTGTTTTTGCTAAAAACTTTTTAAATCTAATTTGCGAAGTCCCACGGTCACCACGAAAAAATTTTATTTGGCAGCTAGTCACAACATGGGAATCGTTGATTAATCCAATAATATAATATAATAAAGGAAATAGAGTCAATATTTTGAGCCAATATCGATTTTTTTTCAAAAATTCAAAATCTTCCCAGTAATATATGTAATGTTGCAGAATAAAATAAGTTTCATAGAACACAAACTTATTATTTTATTTGAAAAAGGATTAATTCCAATGTCACATTAAACGAACGTAACTTTTTTTTCGCTAGTTCTGTTTTAATGTTGTGAACATTTTAAAGTTATTTACAAGTTAGACATAGAGATTTATATTAAAATTTTAAGAATTTTTCCGAACTTTGTCCAGAATCTCAACACTTTTT